CTGAGCCTGAGCCTGGCCAGAGTCCTGATTAACAGCTCTATCAGTGATTCATTTTCGTCTTGGATCCCAGGCTCTCAAAAACTCTTAACTGTGACATCATGAAAAAGTTGCGTGTGGCACTCAGACACAAGATGTGCTCTACATGTTGCTTATCATTATAGTACCATTATTTACAAGTGATTTTCCTTAAACAGTTTCAAAGGAAGAGAAAAGCCACAGGTACAGTACCAGGAGCTCCCTACCTCCAACCATCTGAAAGTAAGTTGCCAACCTGACATCCTATCATACCTGAATATCAAACGTGCGTTCCCCATCAATGAGGCGATTCTCTCAAGTAATCTCAATACAAACATCAAAATCAGAAAATTGACACTAAAGCATTACTGCCATCTAATCCTCAGTCCCTATCTAAAATTTCTCAAATGTTGCAATAATTTCCTTAAAAGGATCTATAATTCAGAAAGGATGCTGTTCAGAATCAAGCAGTGTCTTTAGTTGTGACCTCTCTTTAGTCTCCTTCACTCCAGAGCAGTTCTCTACAGAGCAGTCTTTCTTTGTCTTTATGACCTTGAGACTTTTAACGTTTGCAGGCCAGTTATCTTATAGAACATCCACTGATGTGTTTCTGTATGATGCCTCATGATTAGATTCAGATTGTGCGTCTTTGGCAGAAATATCACAGACGTGAAGCTGTGCTTTTCACAGCGCATCCCATTGGGGGGGTAGAGTTCCAATTTTCCCATTATGACCACCTTCACATTATCACTTGACGCAGTGTCTGCCTGTGTTGTTGTCTTTGTAATTAGTGAGCATTTTGGGGAGGGGGCACTAGGAAACTATAAATATCCCATTCCTTCGCAAAATTTCGATTTATTAGTTTATTATTTTATATCATTTGTGATTCATCACTTCCTGTTTTATCTAATGGGTGATAATCCTTCACTCTAATTATTCATTTTGATGCCCACATCCCCCATTTGTCCAACACAGTTTCCTGGGCTCTATGGACCTATTTCCGTCATCCTTAAATACTTGAACACTTCCTTGCTTTCTGGCACAAAAATCTTTTTAAACTAATCTTGTATTTTCCCTGCCCCAGCCATTTATTCAAGGAGCCCTGATTATATTAGTGGAAGACCTATGTTAGCTAGAGGACATATGTTTGTACACTCATACACATATGTATCTATGTTATAGGACAGGGAGAGGGGCAGCCCAAACCCCGCAAACCTGCCTATTCTAAATGGGTTCTGCCATCCGCCGCATCAACACAAAACATAGGACACTTTAATGGGAAGGATCTTTAATAAAAACTAGGAAACAATACAGGTGAGGCAAAGAATCTAGTTTCTAAATGAAGCACCCAAAGTTACCCGTCCCCTCGTGGGTAAAAGTCCATCCAAATGGGATTGGCCCAGAACAAGGCCCCAAAGCCTGCCACAAGTCTAAAGCATCTTCCAGTGGGGACCCACAGAAAACGGTCACAAACAACTGGACAAGCCCGGAAGGAAAAGAGCAAAATCAACATCAAGATAAAAGCTGCCATGGTCACCTCCCCACGGGTCTCACCGACATCTGTGTCACCCAGTCCACGACCAAAAGACAAGCGCAGTTTCTTCACGTGTCTCTAGGCTCCATGTGCCTTCTCCAGGTCTCCTGGCTCCATCCTGCTTCCTTCCTTCCTCAGTCTCTTCTGCAGCTTCTCCTCTTCCTGCTCAGCTCCACCCTTCCTTGGGTGGGGCAGGGAAGCTGGAACCTCCCCCTTTCCTGGGGACCACCCTGTTACATCTATACAACTTCTATGTTGAAAGTCACGAAATCATACCAGTATTTCTAACTTCAAGCTAACATCACAAATGCCACTCCAGTTTTCTCTGTTTTCATATCTGTAACTCCTTTTTCCGATAGTTCCTTACTATGTTTACTTAGTAAACAACCCCCTGTATGTGCTTAATCTCCTGTTGTCGCTGCTACCCCACGGGCTTCCTCGCTTGCTCGGGCTACACCCAGGCTGGTTCTCTAGTTAGCACAGACACCTTCTTCCCCCTGCTGGGGCCTGATTCCCCATTCTGAGCTACCGAGTCCCCTCACATCCCTGGACACAGATGCCTTCCTTTCTTTAATAGCTCCAGGACCCAAGTTTTTGGGAACAGAAAAGAAGGGAAGGGAAAGACAACAGAAAGAACTGCACACAATTTAAAAAACAACCTTCAAATTACAGTGATTTCTCTTGTCTTCTGATGTGTCTTCTTTTCCCCACTAGAATATAAGCTCCATGAGGTGGAGTATCTTATTTACTGCTCTATGTCTAGCACCTTGCATACATAGTTCCTGGGACCAAGGACGTATGTTTAAAACTTTTTTGGATAAGTAATTGAATGAATAACATGATAAAACAAGATCATTATGCAACAGGGTGGTCCCCAGGAAAGGGGGAGGTTCCCTGCCCCACCCAAGGGAGGGTGGAGCTGAGCAGGAAGAGGAGAAGCTGCAGAAGAGACTGAGGAAGGAAGTAGGATGGAGCCAGGAGACCTGGAGGAGCCCTGTGTCAAGAAACACAAAGCAGACTTCACATGTAATGGAGTTTGGGATAAGACTGCATATGTTTCAATACAACAGTTTACTGAAATGAATCTCCTAAGTGATTATCGATTTTTGGAAGACGTGGCAAAAACAGCAGACCATATTTCTAGAGATACTTTCTTGAAAAGACCAATAAGCAATAAGCATATGTACTTTATGAAAAATCGTGCCCGAAGGCAAGGTATTAACTTAAAACTTCTACCTAATGGATTCACCAAAGGAAAAGAGCAAAATCAACATCAAAATAAAAGCTGCCATTGTCATCTCCCCACGGGTCTCACCCACATCTGTGTCACCCAGTCCACGACCAAAAGACAAACGCAGTTTCTTCACGTGTCTCTAGGCTCCATGTGCCTCCTCCAGGTCTCCTGGCTCCATCCTGCTTCCTTCCTCAGTCTCTTCTGCAGCTTCTCCTCTTCCTGCTCAGCTCCACCCTCCCTTGGGTGGGGCAGGGAACCTCCCCCTTTCCTGGGGACCACCCTGTTGCAATTACAGCAACCATGTTGGGAAATGCACATACTCTGCAATACAACTTCTTTCCACCTTAGCATGAACTGACTGTGTGCCCTCTTTAGCATGGTATGGGGCACATAATAGGTATTCAAGAACTAAGTAGAGAGACCTAAGGAATTATCTGGCACATACATTTCCTCTCTTGTATATGTCACAAAGGGAAAAAAGGCTGGGGACTGTGCTTCGAAGAGATGAAACAGGTTCGCTCAATCTTCAAACAATCCCTGGATGAATAAACTCAATGTTCAATTTGAACATAAACACTGAACATTTAACCAATGTTTGTAAATTAATGAAATGTTATTGTCAGAGGCAGAAATGGAGTTGGGTAAATTCAGGCTAGTAACTCTGAGGAGGAAAAAGGAAATTGAGTACTTTAAATCCAGGGGAAGACTGTCTGTAAACATAACGAAACTCTCTGTGGGCTCCACGGAGATAACACATCAGCCACAAAGGGCCGATGCTGGAGCGCTGACTCTGATTACAGTCTGAAGAAGGGGTCCTCGTTTCAACTTTTAGTGACCTGATTAAAAGTTGTTAACACAATTCACCAACTTCTGTTTATCTGTTACCATGCTTCTTCCTTTTCCCTAGGCGGTAGGAGTGCCTTTCAAACAAAAATAACTCAGTTACCTCCTATATGTTTGGTAAATAAATATAACGAGATTTTCAAATTGAAATTCTTAGGCTGTTTTCCCTCAAGCTAAAAGATGAATCATTCATCTGTTCGACAAATAATGCTTATGCTGTGTTGGGTATAGGAGGTGAGGGTGTAGGATTTCTGCCCTCAAAGAACTTGCTGTGGAACAGGGGCCAAGGCAGAGAGGCACAGGGAAGGATAAGGAGACCACACAGGTCCCCTGATGCTGTAATGAAGGATCCTAGAGCCAGTGGGTTTGAAACAAAATAGGACCTCGGGCATTTTTTGAGTGATGAGTGCTTCAGAACACGTGATCACTGTTTTTGCTGGAAATGTCACCCCACAAAACCTGCCTGTCCACAGCAGGTATGAAAGATGTTTTGTTCTCCACACACTGTTCTTTGCCATAGTCGCACAGGTAATTGGGCCATGTTTACAACCCACCACATTTAGACTATTCTGACCCAGTCTAGCTTACTCTCTACTTTGGGACTCCAGATGGGAAGCAAAGTTACAAGCTTTTCAAAAGTAAGATAGATGAGATGTGGTTAAAATAGATTATTAAGCTGATAGAGGGAGGCTGCCAGTGATTTAAATAATGGCCATCGACCTTCATTGTATGAATGACTGATGTTAGGCCAAGAAACTTTTCTTTGGATTTGAGTCCAAACCATTTGAATTTGCTCCCTAAAACAAAAAGGCAGAACTGTTATTAGTAAAAATGATTTAGGTTGCTGTACATGGCATTAGCCAACAGAAGAACTTGCAACATCAAGACTGGGAACATGAGCCGAGAGATTGAGGCTCAAAATTCATTTTTTGTTTCTAAAGTATTTCCGAGTTGGAGATTTCTAAATATGGCTGTCAGGAGAAAGAAATAAGGGTCCCCTGAGGCTGCAGCAGAGGAAGGACTGCAGACACAGACTCACCAGCATTCTGTTTCCTGCTTTTGATTTGATTTGATTCTTTACAAAAAAACCAGATAAGAATTGCTGATGCGCAGGCCTGCCTGGGAGCCTGTAATTTCTGTCTCTTTGTGATCTTGTGCTCTGCCATGGACATCAAAACACAGACCCCGGTGATGGGTCTTCAAGCCATAGGGCTACTGCCTTATTCCTGCTCACAGTAGCACAGGCTCTGGAAAGCCAGATACAACCAGTCAGTTGACATTTATTTTTTACTCTTGATAAAGTGCTTTCTCATAGGTCAGGTTGTGCAAGAAATACAGCCCAAACTTGGGAATCCAACAGGGGCTAGAGGGACCACATGCGTACCCCTGGACCCGATGTGACATCGCCATAGATCTGAATGTTTTCCTAATAGAATATAGGAGAATTTTACTTCTCTTTTCTTTCTCATTCTTCAAGCTTTCCCCATGCGCCTTAGTAACCATATATTTCATTTTCCACCCATCCAGACTCCTTGCTCCTCCCCGTTCGTTCTGGGGAGAACTCGTAAATGTCATTGGTCACAAAGCCACTCTCCACACTTGCCAGGGTCACGAATCCGCTTTCAGATGGGTTTACGGCCACGTTGTCATAGTCATAAGACAAGTCATCGGATGTGGCTTCTCCTGAACACACTCGGAATGAAATGTTCTTCAGGTCTGGTCGGGTCTCAGCTAAGTCAGCTTCACTTTGTTTTCGTATAACATTGTAAACCTCGAGGTTGGGGCTGTTCCCTTGGTGAGCAGTGGGCCAGATGGTGTGCGGCTCCTTTGTGCTGGGGTCAGGCTGTTCCCGTCTCCTAGGAGGGCAGAAAACCAGGGCTGAGTATTTTAGACAAGGGGATTGTGAGCATGCTGGTGCTTCCTGTGCAGGCCAGAGGAAGCCATCCCCAGCAGGCATGCACAGCCTTTCTCCCTGCCTAAACTTACAGGACTTTGGGCTGCAGTGGGAGCAAAACAGGAAAATGATGCTGTGTCCAAAGAGACTGTGTATCTATCATTCCCCGCTGGCAGGGTATAGGACAGGGCTCCCCAGATACCCCAGAGCATTCTTGAATTGAACTGGATGGGGAATCATACTCCATTTTAAGAACTCATGAGTGAAAGTTAGCCTGTCCTTCAATTATGAATGTAGGCAATATACCAGAGTAGGATGAGTAATATTCTTGATATGATCACTGACAGAAATCAGATGTTTTATCTCATATCACAATTAGTGTAGATGCCTTAAAATATGTTAAGCTCACTCTACATCAAAATTATAGCAATTATAACTTGGACTAAATAAAGAAACATTAAAAGAAGCATGTGTAGTACTGTAGCACATGTTCACTATTGGAAAGCTTTTTGAAACTATCAGATGTATAATTGCTTCCCTTGTAATCCAATGTATTTTATTTTATGCATTAAAAATATAATTCTGGGAAGAGGTCCATAGACTTCACCAGACTGCTATAGGGTCTTTGGCACAAAGGAGGTTAAAAATCCCTAAGACAGAGAAACACAATTCCCAGATGATGGTGGGGCACTAAATAGAGAGGGTAAGGAAGGGAAATTGAGAACCAACTGCAGAGCAAGCAGTTGGAAAATACATTTGTAATTTTTTGAACTGAATTCAATTTTTTGATGAAAAGGAAATAATAAAAATGATCATAATGATAGCAGACATTTTTGAATGCTAACTAATGCCTATTCTGCTTGTATTTCCTGCTTAAATCCTTATCATAATCCTATTAGGAAGTTATTATTAAATGAAGTAGCTTCTACATTGGAATCTTACCAATTCATCTTAAATTAATCATCAAAAGGAGTCGAATTTCAAACTAGATCTGGATTTTCCTGTTGTGTAGTGGGACTACCAGTCTTCTTTCATGTATACCATGATGGGGAGTACAAGTTAACTGAGAAGGTCTCTGGGTACCTCCAAAACAATTACTTGTGATTCATAAATAGAGGTGCTCTAGGTGACTTAGTGTAGTGAATTTGTAGCAATCAAAACTTGTATAGTCAATGAAAACTCAACTAAAAATTTTAAAGGATTTGGTTATTTCATTTTGAATTAGGTGCCTTGGTTTCAGACATTTATTAAAATTCTTTGAAAACAGTTGTTCTTCATACTATTCACTATTCATTCCTTTACTCGCTCAACAAAACTTTTCAGTGAGAACATACATTCCCAAGAGCTGAGTGATGTGTGGGAACACAGGAAGTGTACAGAACAGTTTCACCCCTCTAATGGTTCAAAATCTTCCACCCACACAAAACAAAAGAGTCTAAGATCATACTCTCAATCACAACTCAGCACAAAAGCTTAGTACTTCTGAAGGCCCTGAGACACACAGAAATTACTCTCCAATCTGCAGTCACCATTCTCTTGCAGCTACTATAACTTTTAGTGAAACAAACTGGGCCATGCCCAGATCTCAGAGTTCAGAAGACACAGAGGTTTACACGATGAAGGATGTACTTGCCTCCTACAGCTCCAAACCCAACATACAACTGTGAAGACCACAAGGAGGAGAGCAAGGGGGATGCTGGGTATCAGGATATAGGCAATATTCAAGGCAGCTTCTGAAAAGAAAAAAACACATGATCAGCATTGGTGATATTTCTAGGTGCTTCAAAACAGGTATAGAAAAGGCTTATCAACACAGAGTATTCCGAAGAGTGCTTTCCTATACAATACTAGTTAGCAAAGTCTTTCACTTTCAATAAATGAGTTTTTTTTTTTTTACCACTCCCATTATCTGAAGTAATAAAGAAAAGAAACTAAAATTTTTGGGCCTCTTGCAAAATATCAGAAGGGAACTTCTATTAATTCAGTTGTTTTCAGAGGAAGGAGATGCTTTTCTTGCCTTCCTTTCCCTTAACAAAGCAGTGTTGGTGCCTTTTACTCTAAAGACCAGGCACTTCCCACAATGGGCAAAGGGAGCAGGAGGGAAAAAGAAACAAGACAAGAGTCTCAGTTTTTGCCAGGAAATAGACAGTCACTCACAACCCATGAGTCAGCCTGGAGAACCTTCCCACCAATTCTGACTATGACTAATAAATTCAGTTAGGCCCATGAACAGTGACCGTGAACAACACTTAAAGATTTTCTGTCTTAGCAAAAGAGACAATAACAAAAACAAAGAGAAACCCCACCAACTGGGAGAACATTTTTGCACCCAACACTAATGATAAAGGACTGATCACAAAAATCTGCAAAGAGCTGATGAGACTCAGCAACAACAAAGAAAATAATCCAGTCAAAAAATGGGCAGAAGAGCTAAAAAGAAACTTCTCTGAAGAGGAAATGCAAATGGCCAACAGACATATGAAAAAATGTTCAACATCACTTGTAATCAGGGAAATGCAAATCAAAACTACCATGAGATACCATCTCACACCAGTGAGAATGGCACATATTAAAAAAACTAGCAACAACAAATGTTGGCGAGGGTGTGGAGAAAAAGGAACTCTTCTGCACTGTTGGTGGGAGTGCAAACTGGTCCAACCACTATGGAGAGCTGTGTGGAGATTTCTGGACCTACTAAACATAGAGCTTCCATATGATCCAGCAATTCCACTCCTAGGTATTTACCCAAAGGACACAGAAACATTAATTCCAAAGAGTACCTGCACCCCTATGTTTATAGCAGCACTGTTTACAATAGCTAAGCTTTGGAAACAACCCAAATGCCCAAAAGTAGATGACTGGATCAAGAAGATATGGTACATATATACCATGGAATATTACTCAGCATTCAAAAAAGATAAACACATGCAATTTGCAGCAACATGGATGGCGCTGGAAGGGATCATGCTCAGCGAAATAAGCCAAAAAGAAAAAGAAAAATACCGGATGGTCTCACTCATAGCAGGAATCTAGAAAACTTAAATAAGGGACCAGGAAAATGAATATAAGAAAGTGAAAATCAAAATCAACAAAAAACTATGAACCAGAGACACTTTTTGGGGGGTGGGGGGCGGGAGGGGAAGGATTGGGGTCAGAATGGGGCGTTTGCAATTGTATGGGGGAATATAAAAATAAAATTTAAGATTAAAAAAAAAAAAAGATTTGCTGTCTTGGAACTGGAGGGGATGAAATAACTCAGAAGGAGAAAGTACTGATGGTTTCACTTACATGTGGAATACAGAGAAACAAAACAAAAGGTCATACAAAATCAAACCAATAATAAACCCTAGAAATATTACCGTGGAACTGAAGCTGCCAGAAGGGAGAGAAGACAAAGTGAGAGGGCCTAATGGATGATGGTGGAGGGCTATGGGTACCATGGTGGTGGGTGTGGTATGGTAACACACACCTGAAGGGTCTGCTGCTACAGTGTTCTAATGTTACCTCAACAACAACAACAACAAAAGAAAACAAGGCCTGTCATCATGGCTTTTTCTTGTCCTTTAAAATTTAGAACCAGACAAATTTTCCTTAAGGGACTTTGAGAGCAATCAAGGATTGAGGACTGACTCTTTTGCTACTTCCACTGGCTTATAATTCCTGAGCACCCAGGGGCTATTGCCTTTTTTCACCCCCATGAAGCTAAAAACCTAAAACTAAACAGAACAAAAACCTAAAATAAAACCCACTTTACATCCCATCACAGTTACAATGAGCAATTTAGTACTGCCCACATTTACACAGTGCTTTATACTTTTTTCAAAAAGCATCTTCATACATTATATTTGTTGGATAATGAATAATCTGAATGGCTCTTTTCTCTGGTTCCTGGAGGGAGGGAGATTCTTTGGAATTTCCCAAGTGACAGCAGTGGCTATGCTATTTAGGAATGGCTCAAGATCATATCAAGAGTTTACCCTAAGGAGATGTCTCAGGATGAGGGCTGGTAGGATGGGAGTTTGGCCTAGAGATCAAGTTTGATCACATAGCCAGTAATCAGCTCAGTCATGTAATGACATCTCAGTAACATCTCTGCACACCAAAGCTCAATGGAGCTATCTGATTGGTGAAAAACACTGATGTACCAGGAGGGTGACAATGAATTCACAGGGAGAGGACATGGAAGCTCCCCATTTTTAGGACTCTCCCAGATCTTATCCTATGTGTTTCTTCACTTAGCTGGTCCTGGTTTGTATCCTATATAACAAAGCATAATTATAAGTACAGTGTTTTTCTGAGTTCTCTGAGTTGTTCTAGTGAATTATTGAACCTGGGGGGATTGTGGGCGCCCTCTGGATTTGTAGATGAGAATTGTGGATGTCCTGAGAGCCTCTGAACTTGAACTTGTGGCTGATACCTGAAATGAGGCCAGTCTTATTGCGGACTGAGCTCTTAACCTGTAGGGTCTAGTATCAAAATTGGATTTAGTATTGCAATATTCAATTTCATCTTATAGAGTAGTAGTGCTTTTAGGTATGTGAGAAAAATATTACTTTCATTATGCAAATGGTTGAACTGAAGCACAGAGAAATTTAGTGATTTTTAAAAATTGTCCAGTGAGAAAAATCCAGGTATCCCTCTTGAAACTCAAGGTGAGAGTTGAAGTTGAAAGTTCATTAGCACCGCCAATTTATTAGCCCATTTTCTTTTATCTTTTATGATTAAGCTTTTAAAAACATTTTTGCCCATTTTATCTATTTGTTTCACTAGTGAGTATTAATCATGGACATTATGCTTCTGGCCTGGGTCTTTCTGCTCTTATTTCTCCTTATCCAATCTCTTACTCCTTCCTTGTCTCCCCTCACTACCCTCTTCCCCTTCCTTTTCAGCTCCCCCACCCCATAACTTGGAGGCTCAGTCTTCATGCAGATTTTTCACCTCCTGTCTAGTCAAATCTCTCCCAATCATCTTAGGATAGCTCCATCTGCATATTTCACTGGTAAATCAATTTAACACAACACAATTTTTGCAAAGTCACAGATACCCTGACTAGTTCCATTTTTTAAGTAGCTTTGGGACAAAGCGAAGTAGGGGAAACTGTGATCCAGAGAGTCCCATTATCTGCCCTTCCCAGGTTCAACACATAACCTTTATTTTCTTTAAGTGTTTCTTTGGCATCTTCTTTCCGTGTGTCTCCTGGAAGCATGGGTGTTACTGCCTTTGGCCCTGCACCTGGAGAGACATGCAGACTTGAGAACCTGGAGAAAGGCATCATAATCCAGATATTTCTGGCATCCTATCAAAAAGCGGCAGCAGCGTGACCAGAGACATTTATAAACACAGAAAGGTTAAGGCGGATTTGCTGACCTCGAGGTTTAATTCTTCCTGATGAGACTTTTGCTGCCAAGAATCAGGTCCTGAAACAATCAACAGGCCACTGGCATCAAGAGACATAAAGTAGTGCAGTGCCAAAGGAAGGCCAATAACTCCCTTCTCGAATTATCAGTTACCAGTTTGGCTCTCTTCTTGTCTCTAGATCGAATCATTCCTTTTATAGAGTCAATAATGATGAGTAATACCCCCAAATGTATTTGCAACTGTTGTTTTTTGGCTTTGAGAGAAATAGGCAGCACTAGAAAGTTAGATTCAACAGCTACTTGTGCCATCTACCTGTGCAAATGGTCTCCTTTAACACCAGCGGTCTTTCAATTGAATAATTTAGTTTAAAGAACCTGTGGTACTAAACCTGTGAAGAGAGGCTGTGAAATAGCCCAAATGAATCCAAATCTCAAAGGGCTTACCTCCTGGCCTTGTAGAAGGAGCTGTTGGTTTCTCTGTAGCAGAAAGAAACAAAAATGAAGGTAACTAAATTTCCATGCCACCTTAATAAAACTGGCCAAAGCATGGCATCTGTTTATTTGCTCATACATAGCCACAGTACACACCAAAAAATCTACATTAATATTCTATCAGCTGATCTGCAGCCCTCATTCAAATTCTTCCAATTGTCCTACTAATGTCCTTTATAGAACATCACCATCCATCGTCCAATCCAAGATTACCTGTTCCTCTTAGTTGTTACAGAGAAGGTAATATTTAGCCTGAATTTGAAAGGTGAGAGTGAGTTAACTGGGAAGGGAGTGGGGATGTTGCAAGCACTAGAAATAGCAATTAAGCGCTCTTGGGGGAACTTCATAGAGTGCAAAGGGGATCAGGCAGGGGACAGGAGGAAGAGTTGTGAGAATTCAGACCAGAGAGGCAAGAGTCTCATTGTGTCCATTCTTTTATAGCATGTTGAGGTGTGTAGACTTATCTGGAGGAATGGTAGCCATGTAAAGGCAATGTGCTCATTTTTCTCCATGTGCCCCTGTCCCTCCTGGGTCTATTCTCTGTCCCTCTCTGTGTCCTGGGAGGCTGACCTCTATGGATGGTGTCATTGGGGTGCTCTTGTCCTTTGGCTTCTGATTGAACTTAACCAATGGGGCAGAAACAGGAAATTAGAGGATAGAAGGAGAGGGAGGGCCTGGTATTTATTCTCTCTGCCTCCTTCCCAGTCACCAGGGTTGATAGTAGCCTCATCCTCTGGCTATGTAGCTCCTTGGGTAGCTCCACTATAACTTCATGCTTTCGTGAGGGTCTGCTAATCCCCTTGCTCCTCAAGACTGGGGAGTGGTAACAGCTTCCCATTGTAGCTAGTCCCTAGGCACTTCACCATCTCAGACTCTTTGCCTGTCCTCCTGCAAATATCCTTCTATGATACTCTCCTCCTTAAATTCCTCTGCGTGTGCCATCTTTTTCCCTCTGGGATTCAGATACTAAGCAAAAGTAATAACAAATATGATTAAAAGACAAACAAACCAGGTTTGAATTTCAAAAATAAAAGGCTGAGGAAATGTCAAAATCTCACATTTAAAAAATGTTTTAAAAGTATGGCATTTTAAATCCTGAAGCTAGCAGGAGAGAGTTAACAGAAGCGCTGGAGAGCCAGCTTGTGACAATGCCTTGCTTTCATTCTTCAGTAAAGGGGACCCACTAAACCAGCTACAGTTTTTGTAACCTCCTTGCTGGAAACAACTCTCTTTGGTGGGGAGGGTCAGGTCTCTGGAAAGATTTCATTTCAGAGGGTGAAGAAGGTAGAAAAACACCTTTTAGCACAAGCATTGCAGCAACAACACAGTCACAGACAAACAATTTTAAAATGACAGGATTATCTACTCCCCAACCAGATCTAACTAACAGATGGTTCTATTCCTGTCAGGAAAGGATGCAAAATAGGGGCCAAGCATTTGTCTTTGGGGAGATGAGAAACTTCAGGAACAGTTCAAAAATCACTTTGTGTTTAGATCTAAGTCAGTTATCATGGAGGAGGGACATTCTGGCAGAGTGACACTTTGGGCTTGTAGCCAGTTCAAAACATTGAACAAATCTAGAGGCAAGTGCCAGTTGAATTTGCAAGGCGTATATTCGGGATGACCAGGGAGTGTAACCTGCTGTCTGTCCAAGCTAATGAAGTTGGTGTACTTTATTATCTACCTTATTATTCTGACTCCTTAAAGTTCCAGAAAATAATCTCATGGTGGTTAGAAGACTTGCAGGTACAATGAGCAGCTTTCCTTTCATCTTTCTTCTTTATTCCAAGCACCCACAGCTAACTTCCCATATGGAAAGAATAAGAATTTGTGACTGTCCACTTAGAGGGCATTTCATTTCCTGAAATTCTCATAATTCTTGCCCTCTCATACATAAATTAGACCCTTTCTTTTCTTCATCCCTTCAGGTAGCATCTGGTACCCCTTCCATTGGTAGAATTATGGCTCATGAGGTGTTACTGCATTTCTCTTGATGAGAATTCCAGATGTTTCACATTGCCCACATTTGCCATAAACTTTTTCAGAGACCATATTAACACATTTTCAGAGCTAGCAGCTGCTTATGAAATGAGAAGAGGACAAGAATCCGGTCACATAACTTGAAAGAGGATTCATTACCATCGGAATATTTGCAAATGAAATTGTTTTTCATGTTGCATCGGTCATCATTCCATTGGAACCTGTAGGGACCCCCGATGCCAGCAGGTGCTGATGGCTGATGGTACATGACCACGCAGACCTCACTGCCGCAGGAAGGCTCATCCACATACCAGTTCCTGTAGGAAAGGGGCCAGAAATGGAGAAAGATACCCCAAGACTTCAAAGCCTTCTTCTCCCACCCAGCTCCCTGGAGCCATGAACTGAAGGTTCTACTTTAGAGCATGATACAGAGATTAGGAGGAAGTCCTGTCAACCAGCTGAGCCACATCCTTTCTAATATGCACATCACAGTAAATCATCTGACATTTGCTACAACCTCTTTGCAAGGGGTGGGGGGAGTAGATGACCCTATGATGTCCATAAAGTAACTGTGAGAAAGAGCAGCCAGCAGGGCGAGTCTGGAGATCTTATTTCTTTCTGATTTTTTGCTAATTAGATTTTGTTTCTCCTCTCTCTCTCTCTCTCTCTCTCTCTCTCTCTCTCTCTCTCTCTCTCTCTCTCTCTCTCTCTCTCTCTCCCCCAACCCTCCAGATGCTGAGAAGAGGCATGGTTTATCTTACCCGGAGCTTGCCTTTTTCTCATCTCCCTCTCCTTATCAATGGCCATAACTGCTTCCCTAACCCTGGGAAGTAGTTGGAAAATTCTAGTATGTGAGCAAGACTTTCCAAAATGTAGGGGCTGTCAAAGCAGCCCCTTTGAGTGTGGGGACATGAGTAGGAAGCCCAGGAAGTCTTTTCCAGTGTTTCATTTGTTTCCACTTCATCAGGCTGATGAGCCCCTCTATCAATCCCTGCTGCCAGATTTCTTGTCTTTGTCTCCATAGTTACTGGATGGGGTGCATTAGCAGCCTCAGTTCCACTATCCACTGATACTTGGAGTTAAATGGTGCTGCCACCAAGTTGGGTGTGTATGTGCCAGCTTAAAGCCGGGGATCCCATAGACCGTCTAATTGTTGTAAGCATCCCGTCCCCCTCCTCAGTGCATTGTCTCAGGGCTGATTTGTAGTCGGCCTGGTTCGTTACCGACCTGAGCTGTTTTCCTCCAACCTTGACGCTCATATGATTGAACTAGGCTTTGCTGCTCTGCTTAGCTCGTTAGAGCTTCTCCATAGAGAGAACTAAAAGGCAGATCTCCTCATAACACCCCCAAGTCAGCTCTGATGGAGTCCTGTGTTGCTGTCCACTAAAAGGAAGATCCTTTGCTGCAACCACTGAGGGGAAGGAGCCTGGACAACAGCTGAACTTGCAGCACTTCTTGAACACTGCCTGGACACCTGGGGGCCTAGCTGAGGCCGGGCTCTGGCCTTCCTCCAGCCCAATTTTCAACCCTTTTGGTAGATCCCCTACCTTGACTTGCTTGCTTCTTCTCTTTCCAATAGGCCTTATCTTATGCCTTTATGTGGTTCCATTTCGCAGACATAGTAGGATGGGTGGAATATTATGTCTGGCATCTAGTTTCTGGCCCTGAGCCAGCTTTCAGGTATGAAACTCACTGATAGGAGAGGCCAGCTTCCCAGGAAGGACATTGCAACACCCTGCAGGTGCACAGGGTAATATTTTCCCCTGTTCTCCCTTGGGGAGCCTATGGTCATTAATTGAGTAACATGCACTAAGAAAAGGGGAATGCCATATATTACAAGGACTAGAAGATAAAGGGTACAAGTTGACATCAATACCCAAAGACTTGAGGTCTCATCAAGGTTTCCCACTACAGGAGGAGCATATTGAGGCCAGGTTTTAAGTGGAGTTCTGGCCTGGGACCAGCTGACAGGGGGACCTTTCAGTGGTCATTCCTTAGTCCCCCAGTATGCGAATTGAATAGACATATTTGCTAGTTGGCATAGACCCACTCTGTTTCCTTAGCTGATGGGATGAGAGCTATAATGATGGAGAAGGGCCAGTGGAAGCCTCTGAAACTGTGCTCTTCTCCATTCTCTCCAAAACAGTAAATAAGAAACAGTGTTTTATCCAGGGGAAGCTGAAAAAAAGAAGTGTCACCCTCACAGATCTAGAGAATATAAGGGTGGTATTCTCTGTCATATCTCTATTTAATTCATTAATCTGGCTTCTGCCCAAGCCAGGCAGATCCTGAAGGATGATACTAGAGTAGCACAAACCACTTTGTATTGAAGAAGAGGTTATGAGAGGTTAGAGTATGTGAGGCGGAGAGCTGGGACAGCTGATCAGGAGGAATTTTTTTTTTTTTTTTAATGGAAGCTAGCAACTTTGCAGTTTTGTTTTTTTTTTTTAAAGATTTATTTATTTATTTATACAAGCACTGGGTACAGTCAGAAGTGCGGGAGGGTGAGAGAATTCACCAGAGTCAGAGCAGAGATCAGAGCAGGCAGAAGGACCGAAGTACACTGCTGAGGGGAGCAGCGGTGGCAGGAGAGGTCTGCGCGCCATGTGGGACCCTCACCCATTGGCCGGGGATCGAACCGGTGCTGCAGAAGCTGCGGGCAGCTTCGCAACCCAGTGCTCAACCGCTGCACCACCGGGGAGGCCCAGGAAAATCTTTTTAAAAGAGGAAAATGGAAGACGGGATAAGAAGCTCTTGGATGGAGTGATATTAATAGGCATATGGAAGTGGGTATGAAGGATGAGAATCTATTGCCTGTAAAAGCCCACCAGAATGTATCTAAAAGCATGGAAGAGGCACTCGACAGAGAGACAAAGTGAGGCAGCCTACTGATGTCAGCCTCTCCTGCCTCACAGCCTTAGTGAACACTGTTACCCCAAGGTTTACACACTGTTTCATCAACCATCACAGGAACCTGGGTAACAGTTCATCAGAACAAGGCACCTACTTTATAGCAAAGGAGGTGCCCAGCCATGGGATTTGCTAGTCACATTGTGTATTGCACCATCCTGCAGCTGCCAGCCAAGCAGAATGACAGAATAGCTTATTGAGACCACGGCTGAAGCACCAGCTTATAGGCAACGCTGTATGAGGACAGGGCATCGTTCTCCAGCATGCAGTGACATTTTCATCATCCAGTGTACCTGAGATTAAGAGTCCAAAGGCCTGGGAGCCAAGGGGTGGGGGCAGCAGTATTTGGGGGCTATCTCTTGGTACTTGTGTGCCCAGTTTTGATGGTAAATCCCACCTCAGAAGTGCAAGGTGACTGGGGCATCAGTCTCCTGAGGGGTAAGGGTGGTCTGGGTCCTGCCACAAGGTGAGTCATCGAGGCTCTCTGAGTAGAGGCTGAGGGACTCCAGACTGTCCATTAAAGGAGGGAGGTCAGTAAGTACCACTGGTGGAACCAGTGCAGTGGTGGGAAGTGCAGTTCATCCCACTAACCTTCCTTTTTTCCAGTTCCCCCAAGGAAGAGAGGGCCATCAGAATCTTATGGGAGCTCTTTCTGAAACTTGGATGAAGATGTGGGTGTGATTAGCAGAATGAGTGAACAGTGATAGGTGCTGCCCTGGGGTCTTAAATGTAACAGCAAAATATATAGAGATATATGTATATTTAATTTAATCTTTATTTTTTGGATTGACAGTGAATTTGAAGTTTTTTTTTCCCATAGGATTGCCGATCAGTTAGATTTTTCTATTTCGTGAACTATCTGCTTTGTTATCTCTTGGGGATTTCATTCATTTATATAAACTTTTAGTGTTTTATTAACGCATGAACTCTTTATTGTAGAAAGATATTCTGTTAAATTTGTTACATTTTTCTAGTCTTAGATCTGTCTTTTAATTGTGATATGTTTTGAGGTGTGTCCATGTCACTACATTCCTTAGGGAAAGCAGATGGCAATGTCCTGGTGGCAGGGTGGTAGGAAATGAGAGATACTGTGATTCAGGAGAGTCGAGATCCTGCAAAACTATGGGCTTTTTTAAGTCTCCTCTGGGCTGATCCATTTAATTAGATCTTGACTCTGACTTCTTGCCCATCACCATAATTCCCTATAGTCTGGAGCCCTAGTTGGAGTCTGAGCCCCTGTAGACCTGCAATATCTCCCTGAGATTCCAAGCCAACAGGCCAGATAACTAGAACCACTGACTGCAAGCCTTGCAAAGATTGTGCCATTGAAACAATGTTTCTGGGTTATACCCCGCTGAATAGAAGCCACATTGCTTGGTCTGTGCCTATTCCAGTGTTGCTGTCCTCTCTGGGCTCTGCCTGGCTGGCCCTTCTCTCCACGGACCTACACTGTGCTCATTGGCTGCCTCCATCATTTTGAGTTTTGTCAACTGAGTTAGTTGCTGTGGGTTCCACACACTTACCTGAATGTCGATGCGCGGCCATCGGTCCAAGCATAAAGGTCCCGGCACGCGGTGCTGTTGCTTACTTTCTCCTCACGCCTCCTGAGCCCAATCCAGAAATCACCATCAGATGCCAGGAGGTTTTCAATAAACTTTTCTATCAGTCTCTGTTCATCTTCAGACTCGATGCTGACGAGCTGGCCCCCATCCCTCCAGCAGGCAGCTCTGGCTTCCTCAAAGTTCAGTCTTCGGGAAGCATCATGGAAGTAAATGACTTTATAACAAGGCCTCTGTGTTCCTCCTCGGCAGACTTGCTGCCCTAGAGAAAAAAGAATTCACCTTATTTCAGTTCCCTCTTCCTGACCCTCCCCTGTATACCAGGGCAGGCAGGCTTGGTGGCATGGGAGTGGAGGTCTCCCTGGGTGGGAATTCTCACCACTCATCAGGGGGCTGCTACAATGTTGGTTAGGATTCTCAGAGCAAATTAAAACCCAACATGGAGAGGCAGGGATTTGAACGTCAACGCCTAAATTGTGTAGGGACCCTGTGCTTTGTTTTTTTCTGCAGATTCTTGAAAGCAGATATTTTTGTTGTTAAAAGAGAGGTAGATGGAGGGGCCTCCCTGGTGGCGCAGGCAGTTGAGCGCAGTGCTGTGAAGCTGTCTGCAGCCTCTGCAGTGCCGGTTCAATCCCTCTGGCCGTGGAGCAAACCACGTGATGCGGCAGACCTCTCCTGTCTTGCCCGCTGCTCCCCTCAGCAGTGTATTTCATCTGTCTGCCTGCTCTGCTCCCTGCTCTGTCTCTGGTGAATCTGCTCACCCTCCCACACATCTGGCCTGTACCCCAATTTTTGTATAAATAAAATCAAATCTTTAAAAAAAGAGAGAGGTAGATGGAGATTATGGTTTCAGAAATAACACTTTCATGCCATTAGGGAGTCTTGGGAGACAGTATGGCTTAAAGTGAGTGATCTCTGATTGGTGGGTCCCTCAGGGAAGTCAGACATTTTCACGTCAAACCTGGGCTCCTCCACCCTCCAGCCTCTGTCTAATGACAGGACTGAGAATCCATCCCGTCTGTGGTGTAAGGAACTCAGAGCATTACATCCATGGGGTCTTCTTCTACTTGTCTTGTCCATAGACCACAGCTAAGGCTTACTGAGTTCTTACTAGGTGCCATACTATGCTAAGGGCTTTCACATTTACACGCTCACATTCCATCTCATTGAGCCCTCATAACAATCCCTTGATATAATGCTCATGTCCCGTTTTACTGAAGAGAAAACTGAGACTGAGAGAAATTAAGAAATTTAGCTAAGGTCACATAGCTGTCAGCAGCAATGCTTGAGTCAGAACCCAGATCTAATCACAAAGTTCTGCTCACCACTCATCTGAGCATGCTCCCTACCCCTCACTCCACCCGAGGCTCAGGTTGTACTGGGAGTGCATGAGCTGTGCCTCCTCTGACTGACACCCGAAGGGCTGAACAGTATCTCAGACAAATGGATGGGATTCCACTGAGGAGTGAATACTGAACCTTCCTCAAATGCACACCACTCTGGCTTATGTCAGGTGTTTGAAGCCTGTTGCACCTGAAAGAGTAGCTCATTAGTCTTTTGTTCTGCTGGCACCATGCTAGTGGCTGGGATACAGAAGCAACTGCCAGTTCCTACCCAAAGAAGCACAAAGCCTTTGGTTCTGGATCGAGACCTACAAACAAGCAAATTCCACAAAGAGGAATCCTTTGCCAGGAGAGGGCCAAATTGTGGACTTGGGGTGTGAATTGCTGCCGTAGAGCCAGGGGGGAAGGATTTTGGTTTGGGAACCTCTTCCTAGTCCTCATGGAATGTTCTCATTTTCCTAACTTGTTTTGCAACTGTGTAGGGAGCCAGATAGCATTCATTATTTCCAAATTGTCCAGAATATAGGACAAAAGGCCACAGATTGTTAACTGCATTTTCAATGCTAAATGGAAACAGAGTGCATACAGATAATCCAGAAAGCTCTTGTGAATTCTTATTTTCTATTTATCATAGTTTGATAAATTCTAAATAAGCATCAAGTTATAAGAGTTTTGCATCTTTTCTCTTTTCCTATCATTCTTCTGCTATTGCTAAATAGAAAAAAGAATAGGATTAATCCACCTGTGAACTAGGAGACCTCAGAAACTGAACAGTCTTACCAAGAAGGTGAGCCAGAGAGACTCAGGGCCACTGGCCAAAGAGGCTGTGCTGGGCTATTGCCTGGGGGGAATCTGGGCCAGCCCTGCTTCTGTGATTCCTTAAAGGTGGTTCCAAATCAAGCAGCAGAGAAAAATATGAGCCCCAGGAACTCTAAGGCTGGACATCAGTGTAATGTAAGCGGGAATGGACTTTGCAGGCAATCCCCACTCCTCTACGTTGGATTATCAAGGGAAAACATAACACCTTAGAGCAGTTTCCTGAACTGTCCAGCCTGGTCACACATCCCAGGTCAGCTGGTAAGTGCCAGAAAGAGGGAGCTGGAAGGAGGCCGAGGCTGCATCTGGTTCCCCTGCCTTCAGGAAGTGCCTTTCTCTTCTCATTGGCAGGAAGGGGAAGGGCAGGAGGGCCCTCTGTTCCCCAGGACCAAGGACAGAAAGCATGCAGTCCCAACCGAGTTTCCCTCCCCTTTTTTTTTGCATCTGGCACCCTATTCCCAGCCCAAACCCAACTTCAGTTTCTTTCAACCAGCTTGGCAGGCAGAAATCAATACGTGGAGGTTTCATTCTCCTCCATCTCTCTTGGCCAACGTGTCTGTCCCGTGAAGGGGGTGAGAAAGAGACAGGACAGTCCCTCCTGCTCCCCACATGCAGAACAAATGGAAGAGACAAGAGCCAGAGCACCATACCTCTCAGCTCCAAGTCCGAGGCTGCAGCGAGCGGCAGGGCGGGAGGAAGGAAGCAGAGAGAGTCATTCCCGGCCAGGCGGGGCTTGTCCCGCGCCAGCGAGGCTGCTTTCCTGATCTCTAAGCGCTCATTCCAGGCACTGGATCCTGCCATCCTCCCCCGAAATAACATTCCCATGAACAGCCTATTCAGTATCCCCACAGACGCCAGGGACAGGAGCTCTCCCAGGGCATGGACAGGGCATGGACATTGGTGTCTCTCTGGACAGGGCATGGACATTGGTGAGCCCGCCCTAAGAGGACTCCTGCTCAGCCCTCAGTGGAGCGAGTGGAAAAGTCGCCTGCTGGGGCACATTAGCCCACCACCCTGCCTAGCCTCCTTACCCCCAAAGCCCAGTGATTTGGGGACAGAGTGGACTTTGAGCATTTCTGGATGCAAAGGGAACCCAGCTCGGGTCTTAACCATGGAGCTACTGCTGCCTTAAAAGTTGGGAGTGTTGGAGGACTGAGTGCCAACCCCACCCACTCCATGGAGGGCCAGGGAAGAAGCTCCCGGAGGGGCAGACGGTCAGCAGCTGCTGGGGTACACTGGGTGCATCAGTCCAGCTGGCTGGTAACCACCCAGCTGGGTAACCAGCCTCTGCCCCAGAGCATACACTCACCGCTCAGCAAGCGACCAGTGGCACCCCAGGGCCCGGCAAGCACGGTGACCAGCAGCACGGCCTGTGGTGCTGCTCCTGGCTGCATGGCCCCGCTCGGGTACGCCCTCGGCCCTCGGACAGCAGGTCGCTACCCTGATGGCGCGGGCGGACCAGCAGAGTCGGCACCACGACTGCAGCAGCAGCGGTAGCATCTCCTGAAGATCCAAGGAGCCGGCACTAGGAGGAGGCGGGACCGGCATGGAGCCAGCTGGTCGCCCCTCTCCCCTCCCCACCCCCGACGTCACTGCAGGGAGGGCAGCCCCGCTGGCTGGCCCTGCCCCACGGCCTTCTCTGCAAGCTCAGCGGCGCCAGACGCCCAGCCGGCTGGAGGGGAGAGCGCAGACAAGGGGAGCCAGCTCCCCAGCCTACCCCGAGCTTCCCAGGGAGATTCTGCACTTGCCTAGGGCATAAGGCTCAGGAAAACCCTCTTCTAGCGTTTTTGCAGCTGATGAAGAGAGCCCTGTGGCTACAGGTGCTGCTGGTGTAGACAGATGCAACAGGATCCATGGGCTCTGCCCTGTGGGTCAGTGGCAGAGACTAGGCGCTGTGAATAGAGTCTCCTGTTGACAGTGGGCCTGATGGCCAGGCAAGTTTTAGCACAGTGAAGATAGCAGAGAGAGGTGGCTGAGTTGCAGTTGCAACCAAGTGCCCCTGAACTCAAATACTGCTTTGCAGAGCGCATGTTGGGAGTTGGGGATGATTGTTCAGCCTTGGACTGGTGGTGGAGGGAGATTGCCCACCTGTCTCCCTCCATGCTTTCCCCTAAAGTATAACTCTCTTTCCTCTGAAAAATCTTTCTAACCCAGTCCTCAGTATGTGCTCCCTTGCCAAACTCCCACAATAATTGTGTTTAACATTTGCCTCTTTTGATAAACAAATGTTTTCAAATATATTCAATTAATAAGGTGTCCAAGAGGTACTAACTAAGGAGGGGAAATCTGATTTTCTTGCTTTCCTTATATCTTGTTGGCTATGATGCTAGCAGAGGTTGCATGTGGGTGACGAACTTCTGGTTTTAGTTTAAGTTTGAGTCACTTGCAATTCTAGACAAATAGTCCTGAATACAGGTTGGAGTTTATTTCAGTGTCAGCTGATAATATGGGGAAGCTGCACCACTGCAGAAAACAGCAGCATTAGCAGGATGGGGATTGACTTTTAGGGCTTGATGTCTTTTATGTCCAAATTAAAATATTTCATATCCATCACACATTCTTTCTAGAAATTCCTAATTATCAAAACTGTCAAAGAGAGAACTGCTATGGTGAAAAGTTGGAGTTGGCATATGATGTTCTGCTTCAAATCCCTAATATCTGTGACTCTGGCAAGTTCCTTTGCCTAAGTTTCAGTGAACTCTTGGTAATCCTAAAAGTTACCCTCAGCAAATTGTGAAGGTTTTAGGAGGCAAATGTAAATGTGCAGAGAGCTGGGCATTTAATGTCAATTGGAAGAGATTTCTTTCCAATATTCCAATACTTATTATAACTTAGATGTTATTATCTTGGCTCAAATAATTAAATTGTGTCCTGGTTCTCCCTTTGATACTCTTGCCATTGGTTCACAATGACTTTGTTAAGATATGGAATCAACCTCATGTGGTAGATTACTGTAATGAGAACCTCAATTCTTCCCCCTCGTTATACCCTTTACCATGTCCTTGTTCTCTTCTCTATCACTCTCTAAGAGGAACAGAGCTCAGATATCACACTGGATGATATCCAAAGAGGATGATGATGAGGAGTAGAGCTGCCTTAGCCAGTAAGAGTAGTGGGAGGCAGACCTGCTCCTGGTGCGATAGCCTGAAGCAAAGCTGTCTGACCCAACCTCAGACCAGCCAAGTCCCAGCTCACCTGGGAACAATGATAAGTACTTAGTATACATTTTGTTAAGTGGCATTGTTGCAGCGAAGCTAACTATTACACCTGGTAATGTGGAGTGGTATTACCAAGGCAAAGCTGGCTGCCAGAAAACTCAGAGTAGAATTTTTCTTGGTAAAATTATCAATCCTTCGTTTGATAAGCTTAAACCCAATTTAAGAGACTAATATATTTATTCAGTGAGAAATATGATCACTAGGTAAATTGATATTTGCCTTGGCCTGTTGAACACTCTCTTTCTCTGGGCAAGTGAGAATTTTCAGTCTGCATGGAATCAGAATGAAGGAAAATTTGAAAGTTTAGATCCCGCTGAGTTCATCTTCATAGTATAAATCTGTCTGGCATATAATAAATCATCCTGACAGGGTAGCTTTTATTGATAGTGCTGAAATGAGATTGCCAATTTATAGCTTTCTAAGTTTCTTTTCTAAGCCTAACTTCCTTGTGTTCAAAACACTTCCCCCTCCCCATCAAAGAATGTGGCAGAAACTGTTAGCTGTCCACCAATATCTATTTTCCACTTATTTTTGTAATGAAGTCCCTAAATTTTAACTAGGCTCCCCATTTAAAGACTATTTCCCAGCTTTCCTTGAAGTTTGGTGTGTCCCTGTAAGTTCTGACAATGACTTCTCTTGGCACTGTGGAGTGCGAGTTACATCTTTTGGAGGTTACCTCCAGGAGTTCCTGGTGGAAGGCAAGAGCTGTGAGCACTGGAGCAGAGCCCTCAACCCTGCACAGGACTGCCAACTAGACAATGGGGAAGGAACAAATAATTTCATTTTCTCTTCCCCAGTATGCTAAAGGGAATGGCCCTTGAAAGTGAGGGAGGTTGGCACTGGGAATATGTCCAGGCTACCATTTCATCACGCTTTCCTTATTGTATTTTTTTTAAAGATTTATTTATTTATGCATATAAGAGCTGGGGTACAGGTCAGAGATCTGGGGGGTGAGAGGATTCGCCAGAGACAGAGTAGGGAACAGAACAGGCAGACCAACTGAAATACAGTGCTGAGGGGAGCAGTCAGTGGGTGAAGCAGGGGAGGTCTGCTTCTCCATGTGGTTTCTCCCTGGCTGACTGGGGATCAAACCCGCACTGCAGAGGCTGCAGATTGCTTCATAGTGTGGTGTTTAACCCCTTGTGCCACCAGGGAGTACATTTTTCCTTATTATTTTTACTGATGATCTACAAATTGGGGCACATAAAGTTCCTGTTTCTTGTTCATATGATTGTTACAATATAGATCAAATTTAGTAATTCTGGAAATACCCTTCAAATGAAAAGTGAAATAGGAGTTTTTAAGGTTTATTATGAGTGTTTATAAGATTAGAGGGATTATTATTGTGTGATATCAAATGTGGTAGCATCAAATAAGTAAACAGACACAGTCAATAACTGGTAAACTTCCTAGAAGTCTATATATTTAACTTTTATTTCTTTATCTACTTTAACCAAGCAATCCCAGTGACCCTGATGTAAGAGATCTAAGTTGAAACATTCTTTATCATGTGTCAATCAAATTAATCCAAGGCTTTGACTGCTTCTTGATCTTCTTTATCTGATTCTGCTATCACTTTCCTGTTGGTGAGAACATGAATCAGTTCCGGTACACAGAACTCCATAGTTGTGAGCACAATATAGCATGAAAACAACTTTTGTAATTTTCCCTAGTAAAGATTCACTGTCTTGTATTCTCATTATGCACTGAAGCTTGTCACCAAATGTAAACTTTGATGTGGGAGGAGTGGTCATTATGTTATGAAGGGAATGGGAGAAGACTTCTTCCAACCCTAAATATATTCTGTTACCCAAGAGTCAGGCTTGGAGAGTCCATCATTGGTAATTGATTTCTTTGGATTATCCATTATTCCTTGTAGTTGGCCTTCTTTTAAAATATTAATACTCCTGAGGTATAGAAACATATTGCTGTGAAAACCTTACCAAGAACCCACTTTTTAGATCTTTCTTTCTGACAGAAAGAAACCTGTATTATCCAAGAAGTGTATATATGAATGTGGGGGTGGTGGTGGTGGTAGTGGTTGGGGTAGACAGGACAGGTTGGAGAGAGGAAAAAGAAGGCAAAATTAAAGTGTTTTATAATTGTGTCTGATATATTTAAAATTTAAGGAGATGTTTATAAATCTATAGTATAAAAAATCACTTTTTAAATTAGCTAATACTGATCTACCCAATAGTTTTGAACTAAAAATTTTTGTTACAAATATTTTCTGAATTTCCTTCATGTAGGTAGTAAGCTAGACACTGTGGAAGGTCCAGTTTCTCATGCAGCTTACAGTATAGGTATAGACAAATCAATATAGGTATGAACAGTTAAATAACAATTTAAAAACTGGATAATTATAAAATGTGGGCATGAAGTAGTTAGCACATGACTCATGGCCAAAAGAATGGTACAGGAGTTTGGAAAACCTAAATAAGGGACCAGGAAAAAGAATAACTATAATAAAGAAAAAATCAAAATCAACTGTAAACCAGAGACACACTATGGGGGTGGGGGGCGGGGAGAGGAGGGATTGGGTCAAAATAAGGGGGGGTGCAATTTGTATGGGGAATATAACCAAGATGAAAATGCACGCATTGTGCAAAAATGAAAAATGATGTAAGAAGTGTGTGTGTGTGTGTGTGTGTGTGTGTGTGTATATATATATATATATATATATATAAAGAATGATACAGACAGTAACTGTATAAAAAGCACAGAGAAAGAGAACGATGTGGACAGTGGGACGGAATGAAATTTGAAATTCCAGGCTTTGGAACAGAGGAGGGAGAATGCGTAAGTTGATATATAAAAGGAATTGAATAAACATGTCAGTCATTAAGGGATTTATCTGATTGGGCTGTAAAATAATATTTTCTTTAAGGGATTACTTGGATAACATTAAAAGGAGTCAGCCTCCATACCAGTGAGTTAAGAATAGAAAGCTATTACTCTCTAAGTGTTCTTCCCTGAATGTATTATGCAAGTACACATATGTTAAATGAATGCTGAATTAGCGTCTTGGTGTTCACTCATAATATCATAATGGAAAAGGTTTTTTTTTTTTTAATTAGAGGTTCTTTAATGATTAAATGGTAATAGCTGGTTTCCTTTAAAGTCTCCTGAATCATGTGCCTGGTACTTTAGCATGTCAGGGACAAGGCTGTTAACCCATCACTGTAAGGCTCATTGTCTTGCCACCTGAACTTAGATTCAGCACTTTAGGTAAGCCATTGGTGGTCTGATAGCTGGTGACCTAGGAGACCTGCTAATTTACTAAAGATGGTGGGCCAGGTGTGGATAAGGAGTGTGGGGCTGAGAAAATGCAATGGCAGGTGGGTGAGAAGGAAAGAAGACATGCACAGAGATTTCAGGTCGATCTGCTTCCGTCTGCACCATCTTAGACTTGCACCTCACAGAGATATGCAAGTGGGCATGCAGTTGTACATGTAAAAAGAAGAAAGTTTACTCAAGGAACAAATTCTGGAATACAGTGGGTGGGTTTTTCGAAGTTCTAAGGGTGAGCGGCAAACTGGGCAGAGAAAAAGAAGTGCTTCTGCATGAAGGAACTAGAAAGGTGAGACTATTTTTGAGGGTAGACTTACTTTACTTTGTGTACTTTGGCATTCGGTTTATAAGGAAGAGAAATCAGTTCTTTCTAAAACAAAACAAAACCAAAAGGGACAATTGTTTTACTACTTTCACTGATCAAAATTTACTTATGTGAAGAAACTCTAAGGTAAAATTATCACTGAGTTTATACCGGCCAGCTTCTTAGAGCTGGAGAATATGGGGTCAAAAAAGCTCCAGATTAGGGAATTTGGTTTTACTCAGGAGAGTGCATGTTTGTACATCCTTAAGTTTAAACAGTATTGTTCTTGTTTTTGTTAAGTTTGAGTCTCTTCATTTAGAATTTTTTTTGTGTGATCTAAGCAAGATTAATCATTGTGAAAAGCACTGAAGGAGGGCCTCCCTGGTGGCGCAGGTGGCTGAGCTCTGCACTGTGAAGCTGTCTGCAGCCTCTGCAGTGCAGGTTCAATCCCTGCTGGCTGGCGAGAATCCCACATGGCGAAGCAGACCTCTCCTGTCTTGCCCGCTGCTCCTCTCAGCAGTGTATTTTGTCAGTCTGCTGTTCTGTTCCCTGCTCCGTCTCTGGTGAATCCTTTCACCCTCCCGCACATCTGGCCTGTACCTACCCTGGTTCTTGTATAAAAATAAATAAATCTTTAAAAAAAAAAGCACTGAAGGAGCTAATAGTTAATGTTCTACATTTTAAAATAGGTGATCGCAAGTTCACTGATAGTAACACCTCATTCCTACACCAGCAGAGCCTAACACTGTGGAGGTATCTTTGGTTCATCAAGGATTGCCAGGTTACCTGATATTTTTGCCCACCCCTTCAATAGAGATAAAACTCTAGATGCAAGAGATCAATAAGAGTAAAACCTCTGAGAATTTGGCATAGCTCCAGATATATTCGGATACCTCAATATCAAGTCTTACCAAGATCCTTTCTTCTCTTTGTTTTCTTAAGAGTTGGAGGATCTCATCTCTCCTCTTGGCCTGTGTAAGGGAAAAAAAAGTAGGTGAATCTGTTGATGAAATAATAAATGCCTGGGGAGGGTAACATTTTCTGTTCCCATATTCCTTCCTGTATTCTTTGGCAAAATTTAAAAGAATAATTTTCCATGATAGAGTTGTACTTTTTATTTGTAACATAAGCCAGTTTTTCTTTTAGAGGAAGCTGATTTATAAAATAATATGATTTTGATCCTAAACAGAATTTTTTTCCCCTTCATAACTAACTTTTATTAAGACTTTCACTACATGAACGACATCAAAAATTTTCTATACATTATGTAATTGTTTTCTTGTAAGAACTCAGAAATTTCACACTTTTCTTGCCCTGTTGTACATGTGAGGAAACCAAAGCTTACAAAGGTTAAATAACTTACCCAAGTAAGTGGCAGAGTTGGATTTTAGCCCAGCTCTATTTGACAACAAAGCCCAAGCTATTGACCATCACACAGAATCACTGCTGAATGGTGGCAAGAGACAATTTCGGCAAACTCAAATAGCATGCCGCAGCCTGTGTCCAAGGCAAGAGGCCTGTTCTTAGCAGTTTTGCATGTGGAACTGAATCTATTCCTTCTCTTCCTTTTCTTAGATACCAAGACATTCACACTCTCAGGCAAACTTTCCTAAGTGTAAAAACTTTAGTTCAGGCATGAAGACTGGAGAGTATATTAAAAGAAACTATATAGGTACCAATTTTTTTTTTTCTTCAGAATCCAGTTATGTATAGTTTTGTAGATAGCCAGAAAATCGTACTGGGGGTATTTGAGAACAAAAGAAAAAACTGAGTCTCTGACAAAGGAAGCTCATAACGTCAGATGGTCAAATAAAATGAAAGCAGCTCTGTTTAGATCAAGGCTAGAAGGAAGAAGTAACTGAGAATAGACATATATTTATCATGGCCAGGTAAAAATTCGAAGTCATTTACCCATCCATTCAAAATTTAGAGCACTGCACTCTTCCTAGGGCTGCTGGAGCAAAGTCCAGAAGCAACTGAACTTTATTGTGTCCAAAATCAAGGTGTTGGCAGAGTCATGCTCCCTCTGGAAACTGTAAGGGACTCCTTCCTTGCTTCTTCCCAGCGCTTGGTGATTTTCTGGCAATCTGGGCATTCCTTGACTTGCTGCTGGATAACTCCAGTCTCTCTTCGGTGGAACATGGCTTTCTCCTTGTGTATCTGTCTGTACATGGCTGTCATATAAGGACAACAGTCATATTGGATAGAGAAGTCTAGTGTTAACTTGCTTTAACTAATTTCATCCACAGTGCTTCTATAAGGTCATATTCTGAGATACCGGGAGTTGGAACATCAATGTGTCTTTTTTGGGTGGGGTGGGGACACATTTCAATCCATAAGGGGATACAACTATGGGACCTTATTGTGCTGAGCAAAACACAATTCCTGACTGCAAGGTGATTGCACATTTTGGAGAAAAAGACAAGTAAATTCTTTCAAATGTGCTATGATGGGGTTAATTGAGGGTGTGATTAGAGAACCAAAAAGGGAGCCTTAATTCAGATTAGGGAGTGTATGTATTTGTATATGACATGGCAGGGGAGTCTCAGAAGTCCCAAAGGAGGTGATTTCTGAGCTCCAAGCTGCCAGTAGTCACCAGATAACAATAGAAACAGGATAGGGAAGAAGGCTGTTAAGGAGGAGGAAACAGTGTGCAAAGCCCTAGAGGCTGCTGCATTCCTGAGAAATCCTCAGGATGGTTCTTCATTCCTGCTGCCTGTGAGAGAAGCTGTAAACCTCAGCCAGGCCCCACTGAGACACCTGGGTGGAGGCACTTGTGCTGGGCAGGAGTGATCAGCTGACAGGCACACTGGTCATCATGGCTTTGCGTCATTCTCAGCTTATATGAATGAATCTTTAATGAGCCAGCGATGTTTTAATTTCATTTTTTTTGAGGCAAAAATTTCTACTTTCTACTTGAATTTTTGGGTATAATATCAGTTACTGAAAAAAATTCAGGGTATTTTAAAAAGCTAAGTTGTTTCACAGCTGTTAACTTGGTATGGATGGAATAAAATAATGTCCATAGATAATTACCAGAGATATACAATGTTAGTTCCTTTCCAACTTTTCTATTACACACGCACTCAACTGGAATTAATTGCTCCCATACTGTGATTACATTACACTTTATACCTTTATTATGGTATTGATCTTACTTTCTCTGTTTTATTTCATAGTTGCTGCTATATCTCTTTTAGAGTCTTACTCATCTTTTTATCCTTTCTTAGAGATTAGCAGTGCTTTGTATAAACTTAATGAATTTTTGTTGAATTGAGTTGACTCATGATGTATGAATGAAATAGTTACAGGAATACCAAATTATTAACCTAAGCAAAAAAAAAAAAAGTTTTAGAAAGTGCTATTAACATTGATAAGCTTAAAATGGTAAGTTTAGTTCTTAAAATTCTCCAGGAACATAGCTACATGAGTATTTTCTATGTAACTATTAGGGGCCATAGACAAATTATATTGCTTAATGCTTCTAATATAAAAACAGACATGTATTTAGTTACAAGAGTCTAAGATAATAGTTGAATATATATATGTTTTCTTCTGATTTCTGTTTTTTTATTATTTTGAATTTTAGTACCTAATCAGTTTTATAATATAACATAATGTACCAGAAACAAAGCTTTCAAATTAATTTGATTTCTGCTTCCTGAACATGTTTCCTGGGAATAAATAACAAAACTTCTGTAAGCAATTGTGTCATCAGAACAAAAACTTTGCCAACTACTCTAAGAAATCTCTGCCAGGATAACTAAATAAATTTATCAGCAAGAGAAAGCCCTTATAGTTTACCTTATTAATGATTAATAAATAATTAACAAATAAATAATAAATTACTAATATGGGAAAATAATTTACTAGTTAATTTCATAACAAAAGAATTCTTATTTCTAATCATAGTGTTTAGTTGTGTTCATGAATGGAATTTGATAAAGCATTTAACAATTCTATATGGGGGTCAGAATTTGCAATTTTAATATTGGATATTTTCTTATATTTACACATTTTATTTATATTACTTATATTTACATCTTGCTCCTTAAGGATAAATTGTGGAATAAATATGGATTCCAGGAAATTAGTATTAAATTGCTTAGTTCTCTATTTTTGGCTTTTCAGAGCCAAACAACTGTGGCAACAGAGATTAGCAGAGTCAAATATGTTTGGGTTTGAATCCCAATTCTTCTGCACTTAATGGCAGCAGCTCCTTCCTCCTTTTCTCCTCTGATGCGGTCATCACTAATCAAATGTTAAAAGTTCATGATCTGGGGTAAATCAAAGATCCTCTTCTCTGAGGCTTAGACTCCTTCAATAAGGATGGTTGTTGGAGCTAATAAAAAATATTTCACATGACAGATGGCATATGTGGATATTTAATAAATGGTAGCTAGTGGGTGATTTAAGGGTGATAGAAAAATTTTTCCTTCAATGTTTTCAAAACATGGGTGAATGGGAAAAGGATGATTAGGATAGATTGCTTATTGTCTATGTACAAGCAGGGAGGGTTTCTGATGATTCAACTTCTGACGTATGGTTGAGTTGGTGAATGTAGTTGGAAGGAAGAAAAGAGAAACAAGGAGGAAAATTAAGATAGAATTTGTTCATAATTATTCATTGCAAATTCCTCTGTCCACTGATCTTCAGAGTATTATAAACTTTCTCACCAGTTAGTTTTCAGTTATAAGAAAACTCTATTGACTTACTTATTTTTCTGTTTTCAGGGAAACAATGTAATGAACCAATGTTTTCTATAAATTTTATTCAACAACCTTATAAAAATTTTAAATTTTTCTCCCTTTCAGTATGAACAGAATTATAAATGAACTGAAATTCATGTTTCAGAAGGAATGTATCTATATAGCAGTAACTTATATATCAGACCATTTTCTTTTCTATAACTTATTATTTATGGACAGTATTCATTTTGAAAATAATTAACTAGGATTAACCATGGTAAAGAAAAGAAATATAGTCTCTGCTAACACAGAGAACATGTACACTTTGATGGAAAATATGTTATGGGGATATGCACGGGGGAGTGAACCCATACTGAGATCAGCTTTGTTCAAAGTTAATTTACTTATTTTATGGCAACATAAATAGCATTTTGCAAAATGTGGTTAAAGGGTAGAGAATTATGATAGTGGTATTTATAAACTAATAAACTTTGTAATATCTTATTTAACATAAATTAAATATTTATGACGGGCTGATTGAGTACAGTTAGCCATAAGGGGGAATTACATCCCAAATTTAGAATATTACCTAATTACAACCAAGTTTCTATGGTTTAACAGAAGTGGAGAACATTATCTGATTTTTTTTACCCCTGGGGACTCCAGAATTTAATTTTTAACTTTATGGTAATGATTGAGAGTTAACTGTCTACTAGGAGCACTGGGGAGTTTTCATTCTTATCCAATACCATCTTAATCCTTAGTAAATTCCATTTCTCATCTTTGTTACAAATGCAGTATTGAGGAAAATGAGAATTATTCGTTTAAGGTAAACCTATATATCAATCAAAAGTCACACAATTGGTCTTAGTCCTAAAAGGCAGTATATAACTCTTATTGATTTTGATAACAGAATGCTTCAATTATGAATTTATACTATGAATTTACTACCATTCCCTGTGCCTATTAATTGAAATGTGCTATATAGATTCTATAATTTCACTATGGCAAATTTACATCCACTATAATAATAAGATACAGACCTGTTGGGTCCAAATGATCTGCTCTGCACGTTAAAAGATAACCTGGATGATCAGTGAAAAGCCTTTCTTCAGCACTAATTTGATTTTAGAAGGCAGACCTGACTGAGTGATCTATGGGAGTGGATGGAAGATGTGAGAAGATTATTAATCTGGGGGAGGGAGAATGCTGACTTGCAGGAAAAAGATGCATATCTAAGCACCTTTTTGTAGCTCCTGGAAATTGCTTGCTACTGGCTCAAG